GGCGAGATGCTTGCAGTCCTGTCTCGCTCAGTATCCTCCTAGACAAGCTGAGACAGGCAGCTCGGGAAAGACAGAGAATGCAAAAGCAGAGAATGTAAAACTTTTCATGCAAGGTTATGGTCTGACAGCGCTGCTCAGGAAAGTGAAACAGCTCAAAAAAGGAACTTTGCAAGGGAGATTTACAGCGACTGCTAGGTCATGCAAGGGTAAACTCAGCTGCTCGCCGTGAAGGACCAGAGGAACTATGAAGTGTATGGAGAGGAGCACAGGAGAGAGGGGACAGTTGCTGCTGTTTGGGGCAAGTGGGAGCACAGGGGTGGCACTCATCCCAGGAGGGTGGCTGAGGCACCCACCATCAAAGCATACCTCCAGAGACAGAGAAGGGGAGGCTGAACACAGGCTGGAGACTCTCAGGCCCTCCTTGGCTTTCAGCATTTAGTAACTTCCACAAATAGCTGGTTTGTGACTTGCTTAGGGCTGATTATATATGAAAGCCCGGCCCTGTTTAATCAGCCTGCCATGAGAAGTAAAACCCCCCAGTCAGGTGTGCAGAGCTTTGTGGAGCAGAAATTAACCTATAATGTTCCCCAGAGACGCAAAGAGAGAGCTCAAAGGCATTAGAACTCAGGTCTCCTTATGGTATGGTTTGGGAAAGGCAGTGCAAGGATGCAACACCTTGCTGCAGAGCTAGATGTGCAGACAGGTTTTTGGTCCTCAAGTCATATAAAGGAGAGAGAAATGATGTCATTTTCAAATTTCACTTTTCATGTAATAACTGAAGTAGCCTACCCCTCCCTTTCTTCTTTGTTCTACTTAGAAATTCAGTTTTCTGAAATTTTTGGCTCCTTGTTCCAGAAGGGAGGGTGTTGGCTTTGGCTCACCAGCTTTCTCTGTGCCATCTGAAGCCACTTTTCCACTTTGCTTGGGAGGCGAACAGCCTCCAGTTCCCATTTTACATATAGCCCTTCCCTCACAAAACTTCTAAGGGAGAGAAAAGATGTGGCACTGCCACGTACGGCCGCTACAAGACCAGCAGCATCAGAGTTTGCAATCAACAGGTCGGGACGGTCGTGGCTCTGTTCACATTACCGTGTTCAGGGCTTTCTAATACAGATCAAAACAACCATCACCATAGAAGCAAACTAAACGCCAGTGAATACTTCTTACAAGATTTGTTTTCTTAATCTGTTACCTCATCTGGCTTTTTTGCAATTGGCTACTTGGACATTGTAGGAATTTGACAGAACAGATGCCAAAAAGGCTGTTCAAATTAGTATTAATACCAGTCATATGGAAAAGGGTCTTTAAATATTGAATTAGAGAAAGAAAAGAAAAGGCTATCAAAGTTAGAGATACTCACAAGAGCCAGACCCATTCTTAAGGCAAATGTGACACTACAAAAGCCCGCAGGTTAGCAGTCTACCAGTTTAACATGACTTCTCTGCAGTCCACCCAATCAAATCAACCCTTTTGTTGAAGACAAATCTACCCAAAAAATTAAAGCTGGAAACAAACAGAGTGACTGAGCTCCCCAAAAGAAAGAATTTCCAAATAGAATTTGCAAGACTTGCACCAAGTTCTTGCATCTTTTTTGACCACGGGCTTATGGTTCATGTGAAGTGGCTTTCTGTCTGATCTGGTGTCTTCTAACAGTACTTCTACCACTTCTCAACGTCATTTTCCACTTTTTGGAAGGTGAATTGCCTGGGTTTTGTCCTTTTGAGAAGATAAAGGAGGAAAGTTGGCAAATTAAAATACCTTTGTAGGCCTTTCTTTTTAGTACTTTTTAAAGACCTGTCCCAGTTCTTTCCACAGTGCTTAGTTATCATTTAACCCTGAAGACTGGAAATGAAGCTTCAGCTAGAATTCCTCCTCCTGATGCTGCAAGAAGACCTTAGAAACCAACTGCAGTCCTCTAAAGATAGATATTTTTCTCTCGTATCACAGATGTCAGATCAGCTTCTTCTTTATTCCCAGAGGAAACATGACTTTTGTGTGTACAACTCTGCCAGAGGAAGCTCTTAAATGTTCTGCTCTAACATGACAGGAGATAATCTTTCTTTGCCACCTACCAATCTCCACAGCTCTCCAAGATGTAGTGGAGAGTCAAGCAATACACCTACACAGAGTCTTTTAATACAGATGGCTGGTAAGTCAAGTTTCAGTGTACACTTCCCAGAAATCATATGGCTTCTGAGTGAGTCACATCAGTAATGTTACCCTTCCCTCTGCATTTGGACTCCTACGTGAACCACAGTTTACTGTGCAGCCAGAGTTCATTTGCAGACAGTATCAACATCACTATCTCAAGTCATGAAGAGCTAAACTAACTTTTTTTTTTTTAATTGTAACAATTATGCTTACTTGCATGGACACTCTGTGGAGCGCCTGAAGCATGCACTGAGTCTGAGTGGCTTTGTGCTTCTTTTATGTCCGATTACCCTTGATGCCCCCTCAAAATCACACACAGAGAATCACACAGAATTATTAAGGCTGGAAAAAGACCTCTGAAATCATCAAATCCAGCCTATGACCCAACATCACCACATCAGCTAGATCACGGCACTAAGTGCCACATCCAGCCTCTCCTTAAACACCTCCAGGGACGGTGACTCCACCACTTCCCTGGGCAGTGCATCCCAGTGCCTGAGCACCCTCTCCGTGAGGAAGGGCTTCCTGAGATCCAACCTAAACCTGCCCTGACACAGTTTCAGGCCGTGCCCTCTCGTCCTGGCATTCATTGCCCAGGAGAAGAGCATGACCCCCACCTGACTATAACCTCCCTTCATGGGGAGTCTAGAATCCTTGGGTAGTTCACTTGTCATATAATTTTAAATAAAGGTAACTACAAGCTTTGCATTGTCTTGTCCTCTCTCTACTTCCCTTCATAGTTCTCTCTGACATTAAAATAAAACCTAGGTGGCAGCAGAGAAACATCCTGACTTGACTCACTCAAGTGGCATATGTGCAGTTTGACCCCAATTCTTCAACGAATTACAGGATCAATAATAGCAATATCATTAGGGAAAAAATGACCATTTTAACACTGTTAATTTATTTAACATCAGCTTTTACCTTTATGTCAGTTGCAGCAAGACTATTTTTTCTTAGAAAGTCCTGTTTCCATTCTCAGGGATGACACTGCGCTGCACAGAAACATCAGCCTACTTGAAGGTGCAACATTTTTCAGCTGAGGGTTGAAGAGACGAAGGCTCCGAGACTTCAATTACCAAAACACATGCATCTGAGTGGTAGTCAAGTGGGTATTCTTCACTGCAAACACGTCAGCCAGAAGAGGGAGCAGCAGAAATGAAGTGAGATACAAAGCAGGAGTTCAAGAGAGAAAGGAGTACGCCTCTTCAGCTTCAGCTTCAAGTGTTAGCTCAATCTTTGTATAAAAGGATGATGTACGATCTGCTGATCATTTCTCAGAAGGTCTCTTCTTTCCTTCCTGGACTAGAATACTTGCTGCTTTTATCTGCTTGATGTTGCAAAATAATAACGTTTATGTTTATGTCCTGGAAATAAAACTCGAAGATGATGCCACAAAGACTTGGGTAACAGCAAAAGCTCAAGTAATTCATGTTAAAATATATTTAATTTTCAGATGTTCATTACAGGAGTTAAATTCTTGGTTACAGCAAAAAGATTGTAACATATAGCATCACAGTGACATATAATCAAGCCGTAACAGTGCAGTTTATTACAACTGCGTAAACAAAACAGAAGTATTTCTGTAATGGCACTCTTCATGAACCAAATTTTGGCATACAGAATCTCAGCAGAAATCAAAAGAAACATTTACAAAGAAAAAAAAAAAACAAACACAAACACCCCAAATTGAAGCACAGTACATTAACTTGACCAAAAATGCCAAATCCACACTTCCAAGAGAAAAAAGTGTCCAGAATTTTTGCTTGCTTGCTTTCAAGGAAACTCAGTCTGAACGTTTTCAAGGCATCAATCCAGCATATGAAATATTTTTACTGTTATTGAATGAAAAGAACAAAAAGTAAATGTCTCTTAATTATGGCCATGTAAATACCTTCTACTTTGACATTATTAAAGGAGACAAGAGTTGATTTGGGAATGGTATCATCTGTATAGCATGAAACCTGCAAAAGATATTTCTCAGGAGATAAAAATAAGTTATAGAGAAATAAAATCTGAAGTGCTCCATCAAAGAAACCTTATTGTGCATAAATACCTAAGAGAAAACGTATCATCTTTCCTTCCTGTAACAGAAGTAAACAATTTGATTATAAGACAACGTACATACTGTAAACTGTAAGATGGGGTTTGAACTTGAAATCTCAAACAGATCTTAAATACTAGCACCTAAAATGAGATTTTAACAATTTTAGCAGCTTCAGTTATGGCTTGCTTGATGGGTACAATTTTGCCAGCAATGTTTTAGTGTTCTGTGAGATCCTCTTAACGAAAAACACATAGGTCTGAATGCCACTACATTTTACACATGTACCTTTCGTATGGGAAGTTTTGCATATGTTCCATCTGCAGAGAGAAGGCCTCACAGTAGCAGGAGGTATAGAGAGAACAAAGAAGTTACAGTTATTAAAAAATACAGGAAAACTGAGAGTATGTGATATAATTGCAAGCTGGTATCTTCAGTTCACAGAAAGCTATAAATTTGCTAGTTTAAAAAAAGACATCCAACATGTGCTTACTCACATGCTGACACAGGGTTCATGCAAACTATTAAAAAAACCTCAACACGTTATAAATTGTACCCTTCAGAAATGCTGCATATAATTCATCCTCAAATAAACTGAAGCCAGCTCAGAAACAACAGGGACCTAATGTGCAGATCGATTCAAACAACATGTAATTGCTTCCTCTGTAATGAGAAGTGAACAGCAGTATCAAACAGGAAATTTCATTGAATCGTACTTCATTTCAAACACAGTCAAGTCGAAATCCAGGTTCACTTGTCATTACACAATAAAACTACTTTTGAGAAAAAAAAGGAAAAAAAAAAGTTATTTTCTTGGAGGAAGGACATTTTCTTCATAATAGCCTGGATTTACTACATTTCCAGCTGGATCATATCTAGCTACCACAAATGTTGAGCCATCACTAGCAGATGCTTTTCCAACTCCCATCTTTTTTGTGTTCTTCCAAACCATTGCTGTAAAGTGACCTGAAGAAAGAGAGAGAAACATATGCATTCAATCTAGGTACTAAATCTATAAAGTTCCCTTTAACATGTGAGGGGTGGAAAAAGAAAGAATGATACAAA